GGTTACCAGGAAGGTCTGGGTGATGAAATTTGTGGTATAGAGTTCTCGCAAATATATAGTGTGTAGTGCTCCTAGGAAAATGGTAGTAGTTAGGGCATTTATTACGATAATAATCATGTATTCTGCTATCAAGAAGAGAGCAGATGAACCTGCGGCATATTCGATGTTGAAATCTGAGACTAACTCTGACGACTCCTGTTAGATCAAAAGGGGCTTGGTTAGTTTCTGCTAGGGTGGAGATAAATCATATTATGGCTAGGGGCCATGATGGCAGGAGCAATCAGAGCAAACTTGCACTGTGATGAGTGCATGCAAGTTAAATGAGCCACTTACCAGTAGAACTGATAGCAGGATAACGGCTAGGATGACCTCATATGAAATTGTTTGGGCTACAGCTTGTAATGCGCCGATTAGTGCATAATTTGAATTGGCTGCTCATCCTGATCACAGAATAGAGTAGATGGTTAGGCTTGATGTGGCTAGTATCAATAGGAGGCCCATATTAAAATTAATTAGAGGATCTGGTATAGGGAGGGAGTTCATAAGAGGAGAGTGATAGAAATGGCAAGGGTTGGAGCAATAATAAAAAGAGTAATAGTAGATACTGAGAGTTGTAGAGTTCTTTGGTGAAAAGTTTTATTGCATTAATGAATGGTTGGAGCAGTCCTTAGGGACCTATAATGTTAGGTCCTTTGCGTAGTTGTATATGGCCTAAGATTTTTCATTCTATGAGTATAAGGAATGCTATAGCGATTAGAGTGGGAATAATATGTAGGAGAAAGTTAATTATAGGCATATTGTTAAAAAGAGTAGTTGAACTTCTGATTATAAAGTTTTAAGTTTTATGCAATTGCCAGGCTCTGCTATCTTAACAAAACCTGTTCTTGGGTAGGGTGTGTGATGATTTGTTAGACTGAGATAGCGTCATCTATGGGGCAAGGATGCTTTATGAAATGGGCCCCATTTATCTTGTCCTTTCATATTGGGAGAAATGTTAAATAGATAGAAACCAACCTGTACTACTCCTGTCTGAACTCAAAGCACGTATGACTTTAATCATTTAACAAACAAACCCTTAATAGCGACTACACCATTAGGATGTCCTGATCCAACATTGAGGTCATAAACCCTATTGTTGATATGGACTCTAGAATAGGATTGCACTGTTATCCCTAGGGTAACTTATTCTGTTGATCAAATTATTGGGTCAAAGTGTGTTAACTCACTTAGATTAGTGCAGTCTTACTTTAGGTTGTTTGGAGGTTGAATTATGCTCTGAGGTCACCCCAACCAAAATTTTTAATGCAGGGACTGTAGGCTAGGGTTATAGGTTTTTTTGAGTTTTAATTTTTATTCATGAATTAGAGCTTCATAGGGTCTTCTCTTCATGGACAGGTCAGTTTCACTGATTAAGAGACAGCTGAACCCTCGTGTGCCCATTCATACAAGTCCCTATTTAGGGAACAAGTGATGATGCTACCTTTGTACGTCAAGATACCACTGTTGAACATTTGTCACTGGGCAGGCAGTGCCTCTAATACTGGTAATGTAAAGGTGATGTTTTTACTAAACAGGCAGGGTAAAATTTGCCGAATTCCTTCTACTTTTTGTAATATTTCTTTAGAGCATGCCTGTGTTGGATTAACAGTATAAATAATAGGATGCTTATTATATCACTTACTAATATTAGGCTGTTAACTGTCTGTTGAGATTCACTCAAGGTGGCTGGCAAAATATTAAGGGAAATATTAGGGAAGTTTTAAGATCATAGTCTCAAACCTTTTGGAAGGCCAAAGGTTTTAATGAGACCAGCTGAACCGTAGCCAATTCTTATCTTAGAGCATAGGGTACAGATTAGGAATAATAGAAACTTCCCCAGTTAAGTCTGTTTATCCTACATCCCTTTGTCTCTACTCTGTTTACTCACGTTAACTTTGTGCTGGATGATCCTCTTAGGAGGAGGTCAAAGAGGAATTACCTGTTAATGGTGTTTACTCTGGGCCCTTGAAACCGAAACCTTGTATCATTTGTAAAACCACTCTTAACCATGTTAACTATCCACAAGCCTGTTGACTTAGAATCTCTGTTATTAAACCTATACTGAATAAATGCCAGGAGGAACAGGGAGTAGTGGTCAGTTAGTTGCAATCACCGTCTTAAAGCAGCTGACAACCATCCCTAGCCCACTCAAATTGCTGCACTGGGTGTGTGAGTATATTTCATTCATCTGTCAATTAGTCAGGGTCTACGGGACAGACCTCTGCAGGTGGTGGTCAGTGTCTCATGTCAGGTGGTGACCCTGACGTGATCAATGCCTGGTGACATGATCACAGCTGATGCCTGGGTGTGAGGAACGCCAATGTGTTCAACATCTCAACTGTCAGTGGATTATTCCAGTCTGATGTAAGCTTATGCAATAGAGAATATCTTCATGTTACTTATATTAACATTATTGCTTCTAGTAAGTAATAGATTAATACGATGTCAGGAGTTCAGTAGGGTGATGAGAATTTAAAATAGTTAGGTGTTGAGTCTGAATGCTTTCTTAATTGGTGGTTCCTTTTGGGCCAACTATGGTGATAATATTTTTTACTCTCTGTAGGAAGGTTGTTTCCTAGGGTCTAAAGAGCTGTCCCTCTTTAGATTAACAGTTAAACTTACAGGGAGATTAAGTCATTCTGTGGGTAAGTTTAAAGTTGAACTAAGATTCTATCTTGGACAACCAGCTATCATCAGGCTTGGTAGGCTTGTCACCACTACTCATGAATCTTCCCACTATTTGCCACATAGGTGGGTGTCTTTCAGCTCTTCTTGAGTAGCTTGTCTGGTTTCAGGGGACTTGGCTGTGGTTCTCTGTGTAAAGTTATTTTCTAGTTAATGCATTATGCAGAAGGTAAGGGTTTGTCTTTACTTTTTAATGGCTTTCTTTCATCTTTCCCTTATGGTACTGTCTATTGAGCCAGGGTGAAAATTTCTATCGCCTATCTTTTGTCTAAGGTGAATGGTTTGATTAAGATGGTTTAATAATATTTTTAGTGAGGTTTGGGACTAGAGTTGGCTCAAAGTATCAGGTCAAAGTGGATGCTTTGGGTTAAGCTACACTTTGGTTTGTCCAAGTGCACTTTCTAGTACACTTACCATGTTATGACTTCTCTTCTCTATATGTGCATAGATTTTAGTAATAGCAATTTCTAGGACAATATTTGAGGAGGGTGATGGGTGGTGTGTGTGTGTGCTTCATGGCCTTATTCAATCAAGCACTCTGCTGTTGGTTTACTGCCAAATCCTCCTTGAGCCTTTAGATTTCATAAAGGTTGTCATGAGATTATCTGGGTAAAGAAAATGTAGCCCATTTCTTGCCACCTCATAAGCTACACCTTGACCTAATGTTTTTATGTATGTACTTGTGTTTATAGTCTTTTTAGGGTTTGCTGAAGATGATGGTATAGAGGCTGAGGGCAAGAGGTGGTGAGGTATATCAAGGTTTATCAGTTCTAGAACAGACTCCTCTAGAGGGATATAAAGCACCACCAAGTCCTTTGAGTTTTAAGCTGTTGCTTGTAGTATTCTGGCGAATGGTTTTGTTAATTTAACTATTAGAATTTAGGGCTAAGCATAGTGGGGTATTTAATCCCAGTTGGGGCCTTAGCTATTGTGTCTTCAGGGTATTAAAGCCACGTTCATAGTATATTTTATTTCAGCTGGAGTTTTTTCACAACTTAGATGGAGCTTAGCTTTACTGACGGCAGATCTTCAACACTCTTTACACTGAGTTTCATTAGCTTGGGTTAATCGTATGGCTGTAGTGGCTGGCACGAAATTGACCAACGCTACATATCAGTACAGCTTAGTTAAGCTTTCGTTTATTACTAAAGATTTATCACTGCTGTTTCCCATGGGGGTGTGGTTGAGCAAAGTGTTTTGAGCTGCATTTGTGTGTGCTTGATACCTGCTCCTTTTGATTGGGTTGATCTAGAGGGCATTTTCACTGGGGTGGGGATGCTTGCATGTGTAATCTTACTAAGAGTTAATAGAAAGGCCAGGACCAAATCTATTTGCTTATGGGGTTGTGCAGACCCATCTAGACATTTTCAGTGTCTTGCTTTGAATAATTAAGCTACATTAACTGCATAAATACTTAAGCGTAAAATTAAAATATGAGAAGGAAAGAAGTAAGTATAAATAGTCGTCTACAGTTCTAGTAATTCAGGGTCTTTAAAGTTGAATTGGCAGAGGTTTGGCTGAGAGGATTATTTATAAGTAGAATATAATTGATTTAGGATGTGATACATGGGGTAGCACTTTCAGAGGTGTATGCTCAAGATATTGTATTAGTATTGGGGTGGAAGTTTAGTTATTGTATTTATTATATAAATGGAGGCTTAATTTAGTAGGAGGGTCTTAAGATTTTTAGGAAAATTACATCAATTGAAGGGTAGCTGTTAGGGTATTTTAAAATATGATTTCTGGGCTCTGACTGGGTTGCATTTTAGTCTCTTGTTTTTGGGGTTTGAGAAGGATACATTTAACTAGGCTGATGGTAAAGTCAGAGATGGGGGGAGGGAGGGTTGTGGATTTAATCGGAAATTGTTTTTGAAAGTGTTATGTGTGTGAGCGTTTCTCTACAAAAAAAGTTTTCTTTTTAAAAAAATGTTTCAAAATATGAATTTGGGGTGTTTGAAACATGATACAAGCAGCCCTTTCCCCATTTTGCATCTTTAGTATTTTCCCCTTCTACTTCCACTGTAAACCAAAACTCCACATCCTGCTCTATTTCCTTTCTTTACATGTGGAATTATGTACATTTCTTTCTTTCTTTTTTGAGACAGATATCGCTCTGTCACTCAGGCTGGAGTGCAGTGGCACGTTTGCGGCTCACTGCAACCTCTGCCTCCCGGGTTCAAGTGATTCTCCTGCCTCAGCCTCCTGAGTAGCTGAGACTATAGACGCGTGCCACCATGCCCAGCTCATTTTGTATTTTTAGTAGAGACAGGGTTTCACCATGTTAGCCAGGATGGTCTTGCTCTCCTGATCTTGTGATCCACCCACTTCAGCCTCCCAAAGTGCTGGGCTTACAGGCATGAGCCACCACGCTGGCCTATGTACATTTACTTGGTACAGCAGGATCCTTGACTACTATTAGTTTTACAGTGATTATCAAAATATTCATCATAGTTTATTGGTAGTAGTATTCAACTTGAAATATTTTTTTAAAAATTGGTTCTTTTCAGGTACTGCACCTCAGGGTGCCATTACATGAGCAAAGTTTTTAATTAAACTATAACTTCAAAACATCAGAAATGGTGAGTACATCCATACTAAGGTAGTTAGGGTCCCAGTTGTTTACTTTTATGACATTTGTTTTCCAGGCTCTCCAACCAGAATCCTCTTACTTCCTTTACCTCATTATTGTCTTTTCCTCAAGATCCTGTATTCTTTTCCACCAGACAAGCTAATGCATTTTGTTAGGCTTCTACTTCTTTCTTTAAAAACTAAGTTCAAAACAGACAACAGAGACAATTAATGAGGCAAAGAAATAAGGATTTTAAGCTATGAATATATTGAAAGTAAGCTAGTAATAAAAGGGTTTATTTTTAATGATTGTGAATGTGTTTAAAGTCAATCCTATAATAAAGCATAATTAAATTCTAATTTTTATTTTCTTTTGTCTTTTAGTCCCATACAAAAGGAAATATTTATCAGGTAAGTAATGACTTGGTCTTTAAAATTTTCCCACAATTAAAAATATATCAAAATTCTGGCATATTAAAATACTATTACAGACCCCTTTTAAAAATTACATAATATAAAGTAGAACAATTTTTATAAGAATATAGAAGGGTCTCAGCTTAGTAATAAGACTCAACGTTTTATTCTACAATATGTAACTTCGGCTTCTTTTACTCAGGCATTTTTTTTAGATTCATCTATGTTGTGCACATTCACTGAATTTTTTTCCCTAAGCTTTATAGTATTTTATAAATATATCACATATTGTCCATTCTCTTGTTTATGGATATTTGGATCACTTCTGGTTTCAAACTAATTTGAATAGAGCTGCCTATGAACATTCTCATATATCTTCTTTTGGACCTATGTTCTCATTTTCTTCGAGTATATTCTAAAAAGTAGAAAGCTGGGTCATAGGGCAAGTATATATTTAGATTTATTAGAAACCACCAAATAATTTTTCAAAATGGTTAAGTCATGTTACATTCCTACTGAAAGCGTGTGCAAGTTCCATTTGCTCCATGTTCAACCTATGATGGTACTATCAATTTCTTTAATTTTAGCCATTTAG